TAATTTACCTGGCCCTCTTTCTGAAGGTAATGCTAATGTTGATCACGCCACTCAGCTTTATCCTGCCCTTGAAGAAGCTAAACAATCTCATGCGCTTCATCATCAAAATAGTCATAGCTTGTGGCTGCAATTTAAAATCCCTCGTGAAGCTGCTCGTCAAATTGTAAAAACCTGCCCTACCTGCCCTACGGCATTTTCTGTGCCACATTATGGGGTAAATAAATCCCCGTGGGTTTTACCCAATCACCTTTGGCAAATGGATGTTACTCGTATCAAAGAATTTCGTAACACTCCTTTTGTCCATGTTAGCATTGACACTTGCTCAGGGTTTATTCATGCTACTTTACAAACTGGAGAAGCTAGCAAACATTGTATTAATCATCTTTTAAAATGTTTTGCTGTCATGGGTCAACCTCGTGTACTTAAAACTGATAATGGCCCCGGCTACACTAGCCAGATGTTTCAACGCTTTTGCCAGACACTTAAAATTGAACATAAAACTGGAATTGCCTATAATCCTCAAGGGCAAGGAATTGTGGAACGTTGTCATCAAACTCTTAAACATCAGATTCATAAATTAAAGAAGGGGGAATTATATCCCCTTACTCCACAAAACTATTTACATCATGCCCTTTTTATTTTAAATTTTTTGACTTATGATATTAAAGGTAATTCAGCTGCTCAACGCTTTTGGAACCAAAAACCCTCTCACCACCCTTTGGTGAGATGGAAGGATCCACTTACTAATCAATGGGCCGGCCCCGATCCAGTTTTAATGTGGGGGAGAGGCCATGTTTGTGTTTTTCCACAGGATGCCGACACGCCGCGCTGGCTTCCGGAAAGGCTGGTACGCCAGACGGAGGAAAGCAGTAATAAAACATCTTCAGCAGCTCCAACTTCAAAAGAAGATGCCTCTTCCAACAACTCTGCAAACCCAACAACTGATTCAACAAGCGAATCAGATAGCGAGAACAACTGAAAATCCACAAATGTCATTAATGTTTCTGGTCATTAGTTTGGCATGTACCGTTGCTCTTATGCC